TTTTTTTTTTATATACATCTTCTTCGCTCCTTCATAATGTAACTAACCAAGTTTTTCGTGCCGTACATCGCATCTACTAACGATTTCGCAGACAACAACCACTGAACTTACATCACCACCATCAACAACTCCAACAACCACCACCACGACGACCATCTCAACTACTTCGACAACAACAACCACCCAACAACCACCCTCGTCAACGGCCACTAGTATAACAACTAGCACAACAACGAGTACAACAATAGCAGATACAACAACAACAACAGCAAGCATCATGCCGACCATCATTGTCCCATCGACCGAGACAGTGGAGAGATCGGAGAGCACCGAAGAGACAACGAAGAATACCAAATACACGGAGAACGAATCTCTAAACGTCTCATCCGTCACTATACCAGAACTCACCACCATCCCTCCTTCGGTAATCGTTCCTCAGTCTAGCACCACAACCACAGGAACCACCGTTGTTGTCGAAAGGACGGAACCGGACGTCACCACTGGTACCATTAATGTCACCACAGAAGAGGTAATGCTTCGATGCTTCAAGCTTCGTTTGTACGATAGTTTATGCTACGCATAGAGTCGATTCACGTTAGTCTGTCGCTTCAGTACGCCAAAACGATAACTCCTCGTGTGTCACATAACCCCCACTTGAAGCCTATCTATTCATCGCGACGAGGATCATGCGTGCGTATCCTTCGCTCATTGTTGTTACTCGCAGAGCTGCGTTGGACGTTTCGCGAGAAAGTTAAGCGCAGCTCGGAGATGTAATTTAATACAGCGTGGTGCACAGGCGTGTCACTTTGGAGTACGCAAGTTGCCGAGTAATAATTCATACGAGCCGTAAAGCTAGAGTCGTGCGAACTCCACGGGAAGTGAGCATTGTTCGCGAAGAAACTGGCCAAATCCAACGTTTCCTTCGCTCATTTACACCGTGATAATTCGCACGATCCTCTCGACGCATCCTTCAATTGCCACTTCACGAATATGCGCCTTGGCGCATCGAGACTCTTCGAAGTATTCTTTTTTCTCAACGTTAAAACGTCTTTTTTCTGCCTTCAGCCGACGGAACAATCGTCCACGTCCTCGACGAAACAGCCCGCTACTCTGTTACCGGCCACAGTACCTGCCCACACCAGCACCACAACCGCGTTCACAGCCACCGCGTTCGTCACAAATATCACCACGACACCTACAACAACGACACAGATGAGAACAATACCAACCACACCAATGCCAACTACGACAACCACCACTACCACCACTACCACTACTACCACTATGGCTCCGACCACTGCTAGCACAACCACCACCACGACTACAACCACTCCAGCACCGACCAGCCCTGCCACCGAACCACCTAGGATTACCACGGAAACCATAGAGTACGGAATTCGTAACTCCGCGCCTAAGCAAGATAGAAGACTGAAGAAGATACCGGTTACTGCTGGGAAACCGTTGAACTACGTTATACCCGCCAACACGTTCAGCGATCTCGAAGACGGGGACACCAGGAACCTGAAGCTGAGTTTGTATCTGCAGGGTGGTGCACCATTGAAACCGAGTCATTGGCTGCAGTTCAATCAAAGGACGCAGGAGGTTTACGGATTGTAAGCATTGGTTCTATCGAGAAATAGTTGCGAAAATATTATGAAATATGAATTCAACATTTTTAAATTGATGGTCGTGTTGCACAGGCCATTGGAGAATGATATTTCTACCTGGACCTACGAATTGATAGCCGCTGACAGCGAGGGATTAAACGTGACTGATCGGCTTGATATTCACGTACAACAGCACAAGCTCAGTCGCAGCGTGAATCATGAATTCAGTATTTACTTAAGGATCGATAAGCGTACTGAGTTTCCCACAGACGTTGACTGGGAGCTAAAGGTATTATTTGTCTGTTTCGTTGTAACACAAACGTTTGCTCGTACGTCTAATTCTTGTTGATTCGCAGGTAATTCGAGGCATAGCCGAATTGTACGACGATAGCGATACCAGGCATATCACTGTCAGATCGGTTGACATCGATCGCGATCAAGCGATTTTCACTTGGACCAACGATAGTTTACCCAGAAGCAGCGAGTGCCCTAAAGAATATATCAACGATCTATTGCATGTAAATATGGCTTTAAAGTCTCGTTATTATTTCGAATATGTGTTAAAGAGGATCTAATTGAATGTCTGTGATTTAGGTTCTGATCGACAGGAACGGTGATCCTAGTTCCTTGTTAAGAGATGTCCTTCTTCCTGAAATTAGAGTGAAACGAGTGGTCTATCAAGGTATTGGACAGTGCGAGGACATGACCCGTCCAGAAATACCAAGAATATCTACCCAAGAGCCTAAATCAAACTTTCCACCAGTACCAAGGAACCAGGTGGACCTTGTTAATGCCACTGTTGGCCAGTTGCTCGTATTTAAAGTACCAGAGGTACGCTATATTTGTAAAAGAACAAAGATCGTATTACTGCGTAATGTAAATCTGACTTATGTGAAATTATTATTTCAGGATACTTTCTACGACGCGGAAGACGGTTCAGCAAGAAACATGCAAATGTCTCTACTAACCATCGAACGCAAGCCTATTTCTCCGCACGAGTGGTTGCAATTCGACAGCAAGAACCAAGAATTTTATGGAGTGCCAATGCGTAGTGACGTTGGGCGCAAGGAATATCAACTAGTAGTTACGGACAAAGACGGTAATTTTAAAACATTAGAACCACCCCTCGCCTCCTAGAATTTCATTTGGGCATCAGATATTCTTACCGAATCTTCTCCGACTTGTGACAGGCGCGAGCGCCACTGACGGCCTAGTGGTAGTTGTTCACTCCGCACCCTTCATGCACCACACGGTGGAGTTCTCGATGACTTTGGACATTCCATACGAGTCGTTCGCGCACTCTGCCCTTCAGAAGCGCAACTTCATTGAGAAGCTTCGCGATCTGTATCAGGACAAAGATACCAATGCGATCTCTTTGCACAGTATATCGAACGGCAGCACGGTGATCACGTGGCACAACAGAACCTTGCCTACCTCATATTGCGCGCACGAAGAAGTGAGCAGGTTGCGGTCAGTGCTCGTTAAGAGTGACAACGATCGTCGATCCGTCACGGACGAAGTTCTGGACGTCATGGGCCTGAAGTTCCCCGTGAAACAGATCACCGTGATCCCTATGGGCATCTGTCTTGGCGAGTTACCAAACGTTCACTCGCCAGACAGCCACGCTCCACCGCTGGATGGAGATTCCACGTCAGTCGGGGCATTCCACGACGATTATCTTATCACGTTCGTCCTGCCAGCTATAATAATCGCCATAATGCTAATCCTAGCTGGCATCATCGCCTGTGTGCTATACAGACGAAGGCGTAGCGGGAAGATGAGCGTCAGCGAACAGGACGACGAGAGACAGAGCTTTCGCAGCAAGGGAATACCCGTCATTTTTCAGGACGAGCTGGACGAAAAGCCAGACCCAGGTATAAATCCTGCATCATTTTCTCTACGTCGACAAGTAGAGTTGAATAAGTTTATGTATTCGTCGTTATTCCTTCGTTGTAGGTAACAAGTCTCCCGTCATTCTGAAGGAAGAGAAACCACCGCTACCACCCCCCGAGTATCAAAAAGCCGAGGACGGCGCGGACGTGCCGATGTTGCCAAAGGAGAATTCCGAGGAACCGTACCAGCCGCCTCCGCCATTCGCAACGAATCGCGACACCAATCGTCAGAATCGTCCAAAACCCACTCCCACGTACAGGAAACCACCCCCATATGTACCTCCCTAACAAAATACAGTTCACTCGCCCACGCGCAAATATATGCTAGCAATGCTCGGAGACTCCCCAATACACGCGCAAAACCAAACCAACTATCAGAAGAAACAGTTTGTCGGTAAAGTCGACAACTGTGGTATTCTGAACGTATACAACAATCTTAACTAAACAAAGAAAACAAAAAAAAAAAAA